AAAAAAAAATTAATACTTTCTCCCCCCCCAGAACCTCGGCCGCTCTCGCTTGTAGGACCCCACCTCTGGTATCTACCACAGCATCAAACCGGCGTCCCCAGGGGGCGCGGGGACACGTGCAGAAGCGAAATCGCCCCTCACGATGTAGGTGAAGGTGCAGAGGTTCAGCTCGAGTCACCAAGACAGAACGAACCAGAAGGGAGAGCGAAGGCACGAGGCAAACGGAACCAACGGGATCCAAGAAGGGAAGGAGTCGATTGAATAAACCCTTCGGATTTCATCGGAACTGGGTCTTTTGGCCACTTGGAGCCCTCAACTGGAAGGGGCTTTACACTCGACGCAGAGCTTTGGAGCACCAACGAGCCATTGCGCGCATCAACTCACCTTTCTCTGAATCTCTTCCTTCTTCATCTTCCCCTTCCTAAAAATGCAACGTTGGGAAGTTAAAATCATCTAGAGAACGTCTGGTTCTCTAGGTTTGGTGTCTGGTTCGGTGTCTTCACCAGCATCCTTCCTCTCCAACCCACCCAGGGACTCAAAGCACCGCACCGGATCGGGCCGCTCCACACTCCCTGAGCCCAGGGGAACCCGGCGCGGTGCCTGTTCCCTTGGCAGGAGATGTCTCTACACCACCTGCAGTTCTTAGATCCAAGAGATCTCCCTCCACCGCTGGAGGATGACTTCAGAAATCCCTCATTTTGGGATTCTCCACATCACAAACAACTGAGTTTGGGGTTTTTCCCCTTCCATAAAGCACTCTGTGCACGGCTATTTTACCGCATTTTGACACTGTAAAGCGTCTGGCGGCGACACTGTGGGTGGTGGGTGCAGTTGGGAAGCCCCAGTTAAGATCTACGCTTCCCTCCACAGAGCATTTTATTTCCATCCTCTCCCCCCAGCTTGTCCAAGCCCTGACTTGCTTTGGGTGTCTGGGGATCTGCCCTCACCAACTCCAGCACCTCCAACCACAACTCCAGTTTTTAATCACGATTAATTAATTTTCAAGAGTTACTTACGCCTCTGGAACCCTCTTTCTCCTCTTTTTCTCCCGATTCTCCTTCCGTTCCCTCCTCTGCAAGAACCAAGACATTCAGAATAAAGAGAAGGTAACCCCAGATCAACGCCAACAGATTTGCCACCACGTTAAACACGACGGCTTTGCCAGAAACAAAGCAAGTGGCAGATCCTGAGCACACCAGGAAGCCGCTCCGCTCTTACCGTTGTCAGAATCGGAGTTATCGGAACCGTCCGTCTTGGCCGCTTTGCTGTCGGGTTCATCCGAGCTGTTCGTTTGTTTCCGTTTCTTCCCGGTGAGATCTTTTTTGATTCTCTTTTTCTAGGGTTGAGAGAGAAGAGAAAGATTAATCCTGGCACTGTGAACAGCTGCCCTCCACAACCAGCAATGTCTTATTCTTCTCATTTTTAGCCACTGAAAGCTCCTACATGAAGTTTTTGACAAGGCAGAGTCGATCGGGAAGGACATAACCCACCACGTCTTTATCTCATGATATAGGAGATGAAGCGGTGAAAGGCTGCGATATTCTCTTACCTTCAGAAAACAAAGTTTGTGGGATTAAAATCTCTCAGGGATCAATACTGCTCTGTAACTGAGCACAGCCTTGCTCAGGAGAGAAAACACTACGAAGTCAATAATGCCAATTATTGCTCCCCAGAGTGTATTTTGAAGCCCTTCCCTGCAGGACACGAGGGTTTGTTGGGAAATGAATCTATCAGAGCTGAGCTGGCAGGAGGATATCACCCAAACACTTACTTTAAAATCCGAATCCCACATTTTCCAGTTTCTCCTCATTCGTTGTTTCATCATTCCTCCTCCGTAACGCATATTTCCCGAGAAACCTCGCATTCCCTGGAACACGTTGAGTTCCGGGAGAATGTTGTGGGAGAAGAGGGAAGGAAGCCTGGAGGAACCGTGAGGACCGAGACCTCGCGATCCCATGGATTGAGGAGGCTCGTTCCACTGTCCGCCCATGCGCCCGGGATAGGACGACGTCATGGGTCTGTTATTGCGTCCGTCTCTACCCCAGTTCTGACCCCGCTGACCAAAGCTGTCCCGGGATCTGTTCTGATATTGATCCCGACGGCTCCCGTAGAAGTTGTCGTAGGGACCTTCGTAAGCGTTGTCGTTGTCATGGTCGGGTTCGTTGTAATCGTAACCGGAGCGGTACATGTCGCGGTCGTTCATGGAAGATCTCGAGTCGTAGGATTCGTACGAGTCGTACCTGCAAGAGACGCGTGGGTGAGAGGCCGCTGAGAAACGGCGGCAGCGGGTCAGCAAAAACCCAGCGAAACAGATTCTCAGGTTTATTTATTTAATTTTTCTTTTCAATTGTCAGATGTTTCACTCGACACAGGACGTATTTCAGTGTCTGGTGGGACAGTAGGAATTGGTGACAAAGCTTCAAGGTGTCAGGTCCAGAGGTGGAGGAACCAGAGACCTGTAGACACGGGAAAACCCTGGTGCCAGGGAACCCCTCAAACCATCCATTTCTTCCAGAATTATTAAAATATTTTAAAATAATAATAATGATAATGATAATGATAATAATAATAATAATCCCCTACGTTGAGTGAAGGTTCCTTCACCAGCTGAGGCTGAGGGTTATCAGTTTGTCCTCATTCCCAAAGATCTGCTTCAAAATGAGCTTTAGGAGCAACCAAAGCAAACCAAGAGCTGCTCATCCTCACAGCAAGTTCCACCTTATCCAGAAATAATTCCAGGAACAGTGAAATTTACTCCTCAGCTACTCAAAGAATACCTTGATACAACCAAAGACCTACTCCAGACCCATTATTCTTTATTCCTCATACGCAATCCAGCCGTTAACAAACTGTTTTCCTCCAACTGGAAAGCCAATGTACGCCCTAACTGATTTTAATTGATTTTTAAATCAAATTTTCCTCCTGGAAATGAGGCCACGGAGGATTTTTAGGGTTTTTTTGCACTGGAATTTAAGACTTTACACACTTGCCAGCAGAGCCTCGTCAAAGTGCGACCCCCTCGCCACGGTGCTTTCCAGCGAGGCCCCCAGAGCACAGAGAGAGGAATCAGTGAGGGGGGAAAAAAAAGATGTTATCGTGGCTCCAAGGTCAGAAGAAAGTCACCAGGAGAGATGATGGGGCTACAAAATCGGGTCAAGCACCGATGGAGGAGCTGCCAGTGTCCGGTTACGCGTAAGCCGGAGCAGCTGGAGGCTGAGCAGCTCCTTTTCCGCACGGAGACGACTTCTCCAAGTGATTTATCTTCCTCTTACCGCCTTTCTCCTTATTTCTTGCACGGCATGGGAATTTCTTTGGCCTTTTAATAAAATTTAGCCCATTCCCAACTGGTGTGATGATGCCAAATGGGTGGAAACACGCCACAGGCAGAAGCGTGGCTGCGAGCAGCCGATTGCCGGCGCGTGAGATCAAAGTGGAAAAGCCCAAAATGATGTTTGAAGGGACAAGAATCCGGGGAAAAAACTGGGCAACCCCTTGTTAAAATCAGCAAGTGACCAAACCAAATTGATTGGATAGAGTAGGACGGGCGTATCATTTCATAAGAGTCAGATATATCACTTCATAAAAGCTTTACTCTTCTGGAAATGTAGGAGTAGAATAAAAATCAATCATATGTATTAATATTTACTCCCGATTTTTACTTTGTGCAACTTCTTTTTACTTATTTAAGGCATTAAAAACCCGGAGTAAGGAGTCACCCTGCAGAAATACCGAGTCCTGCCTCAAAATTCACAGTGTATATATATATATATTTTTAAAAAAAGGAATTTTTTTGGGGAAAGAAGCTTGTTCATTAGTGCTTAAACATTAATCACAGAATCATAGAATGGTTTGGATTGGAAGGGACCTTAAAGATCATCCAGTCCCAACCCCCCTGCCATCAGCAGGGACACCTTCCACTAGACCAGGTTGCTCAAAGCCTCATCCAGCCTGGCCTTCAACACTTCCAGGGAGGGGGCATCCACAACTTCCTTGGGCAACCTGTTCCAGTGTCTGACCACCCTCACAGTGAAGAACTTCTTCCTAATATCTCATCTAAACCTCCCCTCTTTCAGCTTAAACCCATTTCCCCTTGTCTTGTCATTAGCTGCCCTTATGAAAAGTCCCTCCCCAGCTTGAGTTGACTACGTTGACTAAGATCAGCAAGGAGTTGACTACGCCATAGATCGGAGCATTTACTGCGACACCTGCTACCAAAGCCTCACTGCTGCATCAGGAGGCAATCTATGAATGAAAATGAGGAATTTGAACTGAGAGTAAGTATGAAATTGTGCCTCGTTTTCCTCAGCGCCGCTACAGAAGTAATGAGAACATTCCTTCTCATTCTTGTTTTACCCAAGAACCCCAAATTGCAGCCACTGTGGAAATGTTGTTGGCTCTTAAGTCCCAAATTTGGGGTTTTTTTTGCAAGACACGGATGAAAACGTAGCACAAAAACCCCATGTTACAGTTCTAACAGGTACGAGGAGGAGGGCTGAGCCAGCTCTGGCCGCTCACTCCAATCACAACACTGGTGAAAGGCAAGAACACGAGACCAGCGAGAGACACAACGAGCGGCGACGACTCTTCACGAGCAGCAGCTCATCACCGCGCCTCCTCGCCTCACCTGTCTCCGCCAGATCCGTAGTGTCCCCCCGGCATCGCGTCCGTATCCATGTGCGACACCATGTCCAGGCGCTGGTTCATCTTCCCCATGACGGTGTCGGCGTCGCCGCCGCCCGAACCGTCGGGGTTCATGTCAACGTCCGAATTGGCCATGTCCCAGGAGTTGGAGCCGGCCATGCCGTAGCCGTAATGACCCGAGTTATCCTGGCCGTAGCCATAGCCGTAGCCGTATCCCTCGTAACCTGCAATGACAAACATCTTGTTATAAAAATGGGTTTATTTCCAGTTATCTGGCTTTGTTAATGTTTTAATTTGAATTAAGATGCCCCATTTTATTTATTTTAAATAAAATTTAAAAAAAAAGCCCCAATTTCTATTTAAGTCATTTATCAACTTGGAATCGTTGAGCTCACAAAGGTTTAAGGGAACAATTTGCTCGTGTCAAATCCATAAAACACAATCCCAGCCCACAGCTTCCTCCGCCCCATCGGGAGAGGAATAAACACAGCCAAGGCAGAACCTCCATAAAATCCTGGTTTGGGTTAAAACAGAGCTATCAAAGAATCAGTTTGAGCTGGTTTGTAGTTTGAGGTGAAGCTGTTGGTAGGCAGATGAATGCAGCTGGGACACACCTTCACCAGGACCTGTATAAGCAGATTTATAACCCCTTAAATCCAAAGGGGTCACATTAAAGCACGTCCCTGTCCTCTTCAGAGACAGCACAGCCCAGCAACGAGAGTAAAAACACTTCCAGCCAAGCGTTTTCCACACATTTTATATCAGAAAGTGACAGAAAAGCTTCTTCTCTCACTAAAGAAACCAAAAATGTTTTATAAAGAGAAATAAAACCACTGTAGGAATATCACACAAAGCCAATTAAAAGCCTGTTGAGGCTTAAAATTTCCATGTTTCTTTCCTCAGCCCTTTCATTTGGCTGTTGGCACACACGGAGAAGCAGTTTGTATTTCTGCTCAATTTCCATCATTTGTGTTTTCCAAGCAGCAAAAAGGTTTCTTTGGAGGTAAAATAACCTCCCAAAACGAAACATTCTGCCTAGAATTGTGCAAGCAGCTACAGCAACAAAGTTTTCTGTTGGTTTTCTTGTGAATTTTTTAAAATAAAAGAAGAAAATCATCGCACAGGTGGAACAGTCAGAGGCTACACGGGGTCTGGGCTGCAGCGGGGACAGTGGTTGCTCGTCACCGACCTCAGCGCGTCTCCCTCAGGTTCAAGAAATGGTAAAAAAAAACCCCAATCTGCCAAAAAACTCCTTCAGTTTTTACTGTACTTACCTCTGTTCGTCCCAGAGTTCCAGTCTCCATAACCTAGAAAAGAGCAAAAAGCAATTAGAGAGGAGTTGATATCGTTATCGCGGCCAAAGATCCTCGTTACCCAGTGTCCAAACAGAACAACACCCCGAATAACCCTGAATAAGCCCCGAGTCTCACACCAAATATCAAAGAAATTAGATCTTCACGTCGCCCCAGCCACGAAACATCCCTACCAGAGCAAAATGTTTTGCTTGCCTCGCACCAAAAACCAGGTTTGAATTTGAAGCTGAGCTCCTAGAAATGATTTCCACGACGGAGTATTCTGGGATGAGAGATGAAGTGTTTGGGAAAGCGAGAGAGGTCTTGCATGGAATAAATCCCACTCTAATTCATGACTAAAAAAGAGGGAATTGGGACACACTGGGGAAGTTTTAATGCTGTCATTTGACAAATTCCAACCTCCAGGACTGACATTCAGATGCCCTTTTCTCAACGACATCACTGCACTTTGCCCTTGCAGGAAACCAGTTGGAAAATGGGAGATACTGGGATGGGAAGACACGATGCTGGGACACCCATATCCCAAGAAATCGTTAATTTTCAAAGTAATTACAACCTCGTTAACCAGGGTACGTACGCGCAGCGCTTCCCTTCCTATGGGTTCGCACAAACGCTATGGGAAAGCAATGTTACCTGGCAGGTTCTCAGTGTGATTTCTCCTTTAATTAGCAACTCCTCTAATTAATTAATTAGAAAGCTAATTTATTAATTTTCCTTTTCTTTTCTCCCTCAGTGTCACCCTCAGAGCCTAAACCACAATCCAGACCAGAATGTGGATGCTGAATATAGCGGGAAATCGCTTCCTGCACCCAGCAGACTCCACAGGTGAGCTGAGCTGCTGCTCCAGGGGCCAGGAAAGGAATAAAAACGTCAACAGGAAAAGGAGAAAAAGGTAAAACTGCCGAGAAATGAGGCGAGGAGGAGAGCTGGAGCCGTGACCTGAGGGAGGGGGAGGAATTCTCGTCAGCCGCTGCTGCCAGGCAGAAACCTGAGGGAACTTCATTGAGGGTGATTAAAAAATAAAGGTGTTTTCTGTCAGAAATAGCGGCTGGTTCGCTCCCTCCTGCCCACCGGTGAGGCCGGGAGCTCCCGGTCCCTCCCCAGCCTGAGGGG